GACTGGGCTCAGGTCATGAGTGGCGTACCCCAGGGTTCAGTGCTGGGTCCCATGCTTTTTAACCTATTTTTTAATGATATAGGGGAGGGAGTGAGAAGTCATATCTCAGTGTTTGCTGATGATACGAAAATTGGGAGGTTAGTAGACACAGATTTAGACATTATAACATTACAGGAGGACCTGGAGAAAATCTGGGAATGGGCAACTGTATGGCAGATGAAGTTCAATGTCGATAAATGTACGGTAATGCACCTTGGAGTTAAAAATAGGCAAATGGACTATACACTTATGGGTGTGCCACTAGGGAAGTCGGAAACGAAGAAGGATTTGGTGGTCGTTATAGAACGCAGACTGAAGAATAGCTTGCAGTGCCAGACTGCTGTAAACAAAGCAAGCAGAGCCCTGTCTTGCATTAAGAAGGGAATGTATTGCAGGGACAAGTCTATAATTTTGCCACTGTACAGATCACTGGTTCGGCCACATCTGGAGTAAGCGGTCCAGTTTTGGTCTCCAATACTCAGAAAGGATGTCCTTGAGCTGGAAAAAGTCCAGAAGAGGGCAACCAAACTCATTAAGGGGTTCAAGGATCTGAACTATGAAACAAGGTTGTTAAAATTAAATATGTTCTCTTTGGAGGTTAGGAGATTAAGGGGGGACATGATTTTCATGTATAAACTATTCAAGGGTGACAGCAACCTTAGTAACAAACGGTTTACGATCAGCTCCGTAACAAAGACCAGAGGGCACAACCAAAAAATTTCAACACACAGGGCGCGAGGGGTTCTTCACAGTTAGATCGGTTAAGGTCTGGAACTCGCTGCCACAGGAAGTGATCTCAGCTAAGAGTGTGGAATCATTCAAGAGACTCCTGGACGAGTTCCTTGGAGACCATAACATACAGGGGTACAGGTATTGCTAAGAGAAAAATCACACATGGACACATATACATGCACACACCTGCTCATAAATGCATACACGCAATAGGTTGGACTTGATGGACTTATGTCTTTATTCAACCTCAAATACTATGTAACTATGTAACCTGCCACCTCCAATACAGGAGTTCTAGCACAGCACTGTACTCATTCTCCTGTGACAGGAAAGCTACAAGAGCAGCATTCCGGTGTCAGTGCTCACACTGAGCAGAGTGCAGAACGGATATTCTCCGCTATCCAACCTGATCTAATTTGCTGTGGTCCAGGGTCCCCAGAAAGGCAGGGGACCTCGAAGACCACATTGGGGATGTAGCCAGTGGGCAGGGAGAGAGGCGGTGACAGATGGTGGGTGGGGACAGAGGCAAAGGCCGGAGAAAGAGGCGGAGGGCAGAGAGGCAGCAGCCGGAGAGAGCGGCGATGTTCGGGGAGAGGAGGGGAGTGACAATCAGGCTGCTTACAAATGGTCCTGAGCGGCTGTACATCCGTTAAAGATATCTGGTACCAAACGCCCCCCCCCCCCATGTACATTTAGCTCTGCTGCGTGCCCGAAGAAGGGCTAAATGTAGTTACAAAAATACCTGCTCAGCGCCCGGAACTGCATGTCCTGGGCATTGGGCGATAGGAATTCCACACCCCTGATTAGAGTGAACCTGTACAGAGACAGTGGACAAGGGTTTTAGGGGAGTGTGCCAAAGGTCAGAGCTACGAAGCCTGGCCATAAGTTAAAGCACAGCTGTCAAAATAAAAAAAAAAAAGCTAAAATATTGTCCCTACAATTTCGTTACCTTTACTGCTGCTAAAATCTCTGCAAAGTCACTGGCAATCACAAGTAATACCTAGCATTGTTGACAATGATACCCCATGCTACAGGGCTAGAGTCTTACGTCTCTAGCCCTGTAGCAGGGAGGGAGTGGGGCGGTTGTATGGTATTTTAGGTTGAAACTATTAGTGAATACAGTTCATTTAAAGGTGTTTTTTCTTCCAGGAATTTAGCTTTAAAGCTAAACTCTGGGATAATCATACACTGAGTGGCCAGATTATTATGACCACCTGACGTTTGTGGGCAAATTAGCTATAATTTGGCGCTGAAGTTGCTAGAGGGCCAGACCATTATAAATAGGGAAGCAGATTGTTTACCACAACAGTAGAAGTTATTTTTTTCTGAAGATATGGGTAAACAACGCGATTTAACAGCCTTTGAACGTGGGATGATTGTTGGTGCTCGGAGCCATGGAGCGAGTATCAGCAAAACAGCAGAATTCGTTAAATGTTCAAGAGCAACTGTTGTTAAAGTGTTTAAAGACTGGACTGTCAGCCGAAAATCTGGGTCTGAACGTGCAAATTGTGGCCGTCAGCGACTAGTCAATGTTAGGGCAGAACAGAGAGTGTCAAGACTGGTACAAGACAACAGAAGGAAAGGGTGACAGCTCTCGTCTCCGCCCCTCCTGTAGTTTTCTGCAGGCAGCCTATAACTGTCTGTCTGTATCAGATGTCTGCAGAGCCATTAGAGGAAAAGCACCTACAAACCTGTACATTTCTAATAAAAAACAAGCCTTCCCTTTACACATCTGGCTGCATTGGACACGGAGCATAAATCACTGTTAACCTTTTGGTGTAAATAAGATCATTTTTCTTTTAATATCTGATTTCTGAATAGCATGCAGCCAGTGTACATATTTACAGTGCTATCATGTCCTGGTCTCTGTGCTTACAAAGATAAGGTGCGTTAATGACACACAGTAATACCGTGTCCACATCACTATGCAAAATATGTATTTGCTTAGGAGATCATAAAAGATTTTGGAAAGTCAGTATTTGCAGCAATGCCAAACATAAATGAGAGCTATTAGTTGTTTGCAAGGGAACAGGACCATCTAAAGATGTTTTTACCTTACCCCCACTTACACAAGGCATGTGGAATGTGTATCATCACAGACCCTGACCCAAAATAGAGGGTCTACCTAAACAATGAGGAACCATCAACAAATGATGGCTACCCATATAGTCACGCAGCACTGTGCTCCTGAGTTCAGTTTGCACTAGGGGTCTATATGCATGAGGATTGCATGTTTTTTATTGTGTTTCTGTCAGGAAGCAGGGGGTGTTACCTCTACTCGGGGACCACGGGCACGGCGCAGTGCACAGGTTCCCCTTCAGCTCGGTAGAACACCTGGTGCCAGAGGTGCGTGTGCACATGCGCGAATCACCCGGCGTGTGCGCATGCGCAGTACGCAGGCTGCACGCGCATCCCCGGGAGCGCGCGCATATTGTTCCTGCGTCATCTGGCTATCAGGTGTGGGCCTTGCTGGGGGAGGTTCCCAGTACACACCTTCCATCTTCCTCGCCTGCCATTGGTTCCCGGGGAGGGAAGCCTCCTGGTTGCCTCGGTGACCAGGGCGTGGTCCTACCTCCCCTGGCTATAAAAACCTGGCCTGAGCTCTGGCTTATTGCTGAGTTATTCCACCTTATGGTGAACACCTAGCCTCCCTGCTGATCCTCCTATTGCCTGTTGCCTCTTTGTATCCTTCCCGATTACTGACCCTTGGACTGTCTTCCGCCTTTGAACCTTCGCTGCCTGCCTCGACCTGGATTGGACATTGACTACCCCTCTTGGATTATCCCTAAACTTGTACTTCGTTTCTGGACTGTATGCTGCTTACTGCCAGTGGGTTCCACATCTCACTACTAGCTTCCTGGTACGTCTGACAGTTTCTTTGGGGTGCTTCAGCTGCCTTCTCAATTCAAACACCTTCCATTAGCTTAATCGGCTTCCATTAAACTATGTATGTGTCTTTATCTGTGTCCCAGCGGGGAAGAGAGAAAGTGCTACAGGCAGCCGAGCCCTGTGGGAGGAGAGCGCTGTAAGCGGTCGGCGTCTCTCCTCCCCACACCACTCAGCCTCCTGTCACAGAGCGGTGTGGGGGCAGAGACAGCCAGCGCTCTCAAAGGACAGCTGTCAGGATGGAGAGCGAAGTACAAACTCAGCGATCACTGAGTGTTTGTAAATAATTGAGGACAGAGTAAATCCTCAATTATGAATGAATGGGAAGTAATCTACATCACCTCCTGTTCATTCATGATTGTGGTTTCGGAACAACATTTTTTTTTCGTTTCGGTTTCGTTTTTAAAATTTTCATTTCGGTGCACCTCTACTAAATATATCCCCGCTATCTAAAATCACCCACAGAATCACATATGTCTGTTAGGTAGCATTATCAATGCTTTATGTATTTTTTCAGCCACCTTGGCCTTGTAAGTAATTTTTTTACTACAGACGAGATTTAAAAATGTAATTTGAGAGGCATGTCAACATGATGCTGGTGAGTACCACTGTTATCACGGACAGTATACTGAGCAACGTGACTCAGTACTACAACAAAATGACCCTGTCCCTGAACATTATCTTCAAATATGGTCAACTACATCATTCAGATCATCTGTTGCTCAAAGCTATCCAGTGGCCATGCATGAGAACTGGATAAATGAGCTACACATTTCCTTGCGTCACATATGTATAAACGCCCGAGCAAAGCTATCAGGCTGAAGTATAAAAAACTCTTGTGAACATATGTACATTGTTCAGAATACAATATTTGATCGTTTTGGCAGAATCTCAAATTACAGATAAATTCCATAGCTTCTTTTATTTTATGGTACTAAAAAACCCAACTCCATGATTGGACACTCCAGAATATAGGAATGGTTCTTCGATACTACACAGAATATAGGAAATAGTTCTTCGATACTACACAGAATATAGGAAATAGTTCTTCGATACTACACAGAATATAGGAAATAGTTCTTCAATACTACATAGAATATAGGAAATGGTTCTTCAATACTACATAGAATATAGGAAATAGTTCTTCAATACTACACAGAATAGGAAATGATTCTTCAATACTACAGAGAATATAGTAAATAGTTCTTCAATACTACATAGAATATAGTAAATGGTTCTTCGATACTACACAGAATAAAGGAAGTGATTCTTCAATACTACACATAAAATAGTTAATAGTACTATGCAGCACAATGCAGTGACAAGTACAGAATATACTTTACCAGAGCCCATCTGTTGTCTTCAGGGAGCTGGTGGATCGGGATCTTGGCTTGAGGACAATACTCATGTTGATTCGGCAAATAAGTCAGTGTTTAAACAAAAAAAAAAGGTCTTCTACTAGTTATAGTGTAATCCATAGTGCTCTGTACAGTGGTAGGCTCAGGAAGACTTGTCAGGTTCAGTCCCAGCTGATAGAGAAGGCTGCTGTAGCTCTGCTTCCTATCACTGACTTCCATACAGATGAATGTTAGGAAGTGACAGAGCTTCTATCCTGTGTCTTAAATTTCCAGGGGAGGAACTGCTGTTTCAGTGTATTCTCCATGTAGGTCACATGAAACCTCAGCTGCAGCTCAACAAGCCTCTTGAGCTTTCTTTTACTCTATCACTGGATGTGATAAGGTTACATGGGAAAAGGGAACCCGCAGAGGGCAAGAATCATATTATGACACAAAGGAAAGAAAATCATCCCGACATGCCAAGGAAATGTCACTTTCATTAGTTCTGCTGTGCAGAGTCACTGATTATCCAGAGGAACAATGTGATTCTTTTATCCACCCACTGTCACATGGGATCTACCTGTATACTACGACTTGTTTATACGCCCACACTGGCTGGCAACTTCTCACACAGACTGCGTTCCCCGAGTTCACTTTACTGCATGCCAGAAAACCAAACATGCTGAAAATGTTGTCAAAGCTCTCCAGTGTGGAAAAAAAAAAGATTAATACCTTAAGGAGGTATCTATCAAAAGGACCTGTAACCTAAATATCTTTTATTACATAAAATGCAATAGTTGTTGCATGTTTTCTAATACATAAGTACTTTTTTTTTTATAAAGTGTATGTCTAGCAAAACGTTTTGTTTAGGGCTGAGAAGGATTACAAACCCTGTCAGGTTTTTATTGAGTATATTTTCTGTATTTGCCCCCCTAGACTAAAATGAGCAGTTAACCCTTGCAGTGCATGGAGTAGCCCTACTACAAAAGTAACTTTTACATTTGCTGGAGTTCTTCTTTAATTTATAAATAAAAGCCTTTTGCGGTGGCTGTCCTTCATTAAAAAATCCACAATTTTGCTCCCTTAATAACACTTATTTGGAGTTTTCTCACTAACTCTTTTCCTTCTTCCATTAGTAATTTTGTTTTGCTTTTATTTTAAAGTAATAAAATGTGTTTTCCTTTGTTTCTGTAGCACTGGATTTAACAAAATCTTTTGTACAACAAACATCATTTTAGCACTTGTATAAAAAACATTTTTAGTTAACCCTTAGTGCTTGTTCACACCAAATGTGCACACCAGACCAGCATGAGTTTCTGCACATGCAGTGCAGTGTGTTTTCCTGCGTTTCTGCCGCATTCCGGGACGGGTTTTTTTTAAAACCTAAAATGGGCTTTCAGTGCGTTCCAGGGCATTTGCATGCGTTTGTGATGTGTTTGTATGCGTTTTGGTGCGTTCCAGTATTGGAATACATTGGACGCAGTTTTGATGCGCTCTGTAACTGCTCTGCACCTGCTCCTCGCTAGGTGTGAACTAACCCTTATCCCTTCTCTTTGCTTTTTTCCTGTGAATGTAAACTCTAAATAACGTCACAATTTTGTTTTGTATGTTTTTGTAACGCTTTGTTAAAAAGGTCCGGGATTTGTAGTGCATTTTGACATCCACACCTTGGGTGTGATGGCTGCCAGAGGAACTTGACCTGGATGTGCAGCCTGGTTGGAGTAAAGAAAAGGTTATGATTTAGATGTTGCCTCGACTCAACGTGTAGATACAAATGTCGCCATTGGGCACTTTTAAATTAATGCTATTGGCCTAAAACTTGTTTAAATAAAAACAATTCTAAATGCTTGCTTTTATTTGTTAATATGAATTCCCTTGATATCTTTGTGCATGTACTGAAAGGGAAAGGGTTAAAATCACTTTGTCTTGGAAGAGCTCATACCTCAATTTTACATAAGTTAGATTCTTTTTGGTGGCATAATGATTAATGGAAAAATGTCTGAAATTCTGAAACATGAACTTTGGCTGGATTGTTGCCCTCTCCCAACCCCCAAGCCATCCCTATTGCTGCGGTCTTTTCTCTGGTTCCTATGTGTTTTACTTCGTTTAGACCTGCCCTGCCTTCATTACTGCATTTTCCAAAGACAAAGATCCATAAAGATAACCTAGATAATAACAGGATTGCAAACGTAATCTTTTTTTACAAAACTCATTCTAGATCCTTATTCCTGCTTTCTCTACTAGACCTAATATCACAGCCAGGTGTTAAACAGCTGTATTCTCTGTCTCCCTATACGACTCAGAGTTAGATCCAGGCTGCACTGAATGGAGAGTGTCTGCATATCTGGGGAATAAGGTCTGTCAGAACAATTGTTTGTATTGGACTGTGGATTTTGTCCATTTATACTGGAAGCTGGAATAGCCGCTCCAGTAGGACGTAGTGAGGGACACTACTGTCTAGTTAGCCTCCTAAGGTGGAGTAGGCCTTTTTATTTGTGTTACTTTTTCGTTGGATGCAATAAAGCTGCATTTATTGCCCTTACTGTTTAAAGACCAGTGACTTTCCTACAATATATATAAAAACATTTTCAAGATACCTTTTTTTTGTATACTGTTTGCATCATTGCTGAAAATTTGTATGATTTCCCAGAGAAATAAATTAAACTAAATGCACTTGTGGTTGAGCAATATTGGCAGTGTAATTCGTTGACTGTGCTGTAGGTGGGGCTTCCCGCCCGTACAACTGAAGACACAGCTACCTAACTAGCTCTGGCATCACTGCACCATTCAAATGACCAGGCACACATACACATTGATTTGCTAATAGGGTCAATTATTTACATTATCAGTTCAGTTATTTACATTATCAGTTCAGTATCTTCTTACTTCAACTGCTTAGTAAGTGTATGTGCAATAGATATATTTACTCTACTTTTCAATGTAAACAATAAATCCACCTAAAAAGTGATATTTAAAAAATTATTCTTTAAAAACAAATTGGCTACATAGCATTGCAAGGACTAGTGCTTTGCTTCACTACAACAATGTAAAACAAGTCTGTAGCCAGTGAAAAGGTAGGGAGCCTGACCTGCATATTTTTTCAAGCTACTGAAGCAAGGATAAAAAGGAAAGCCCTGTAACTTGCAACCTCTAGAAACAAACAAAAAAAACAAAGAGAGCTCTCGAATTTTATCTTGGCAGATGTATTTTTTTATGGCAAAGGATAAATATAAGGTGTTAATAAGAGTATCATTTTTGATAAAATAAGCAATATTTGAACACTAATAATAGGGCCTAAAAGCTTTCTCTCCCCATGGAGTGTGTCACCAAGGTATGATGAATTAGGTGCCAGTTTTTTATTCACAAGAACAGTTGTTTTTCTTAAAGGGGAACTATGGGGTAAGTGTTTTTCCCCATAGTTCTCGTAAGGGTCACGGGAGGACATATACTTGCGTCCTCCCGTGACCCAAAGTACTGAGACCGCCGCAGCCGGGACGGATCCCGACATTACTGTCAAGATCCGCCCAGCTGCGTGAGTGACAGCTGGCTCTGCCTATCTAGAGGCAGAGCCAGCTGTACCAGCCCCCTCCCCCGTCTGTTCCGCCAGTCAGCGCTGGAGGATCGGAGAGGGGAGGTGGAGAATCCCTGCAGGGAGCCGTGAGTGACAGTCACGGCTCTGTGTTTGCTCACTTCCCGATCTATTGAGCTGACGTGTGACAGTTTCATTGTCACAGGTTGGCTCGAACTATGAGGATGAGTGAAAATCACTCACCTCAGTTCTCCTTTAACCCCTTCATGACAGAGGCCTTTTTTTCATTTTGTGCACCCATGTTATATTCCACATTTTAAGCCTGAAAATTACCTAAAACCCCCAAACATTATATATTTTCTGAAAGCCAAGACCCTATAGAATACAATGGTGGCAGTTGCTCGATATTAGCGCAACTCCTTATCAAACCCCAAAATATAGTGAAAAATTTACTTAAATGCCCAAAAACACAATAAATACAATTTAAAAAAAAAATAAAATGTAAAAGATGAGGTTCTACGAGTGAACAGATACCCAACATGCCCAGGTAAAAATTGTGTGCGTCCGTGAACCGGCGACAAACTTCAGTACCCCAAAAAGTCCATAGACAACGTTTTAAAAGCCCCGACAGGTCATTTATTTAGAGGTACCCAAAAATACTGGCCCTAGATTTATTGCCCTCACTCCGGCGTGTGCGGCGATACCCAACATGTCTAGCGCGTTTGTCGTTTTCATACGTAGGCACACCCGAC